TATTGTTGTGGGTGTATTATTGACATGTCAAAGTCTAGACCCTGAATATAAGACGACCGTGTTTTTTCAGATGTATATCCAAGAAAAAAACATTGTCTTATTCGGGTCAATACGGTATATATATATACAGTGGTGTGAAAAAGTGTTGGACCCCTTCCTGATTTCGTTTTTTTTTGCGTGTTTGTCACACTTTAATGTTTCAGATCATCAAACAAATTTAAATATTAGTCAAAGCACATACATACACACACACTTTTATAATAAGTGATTCCTCATAATACGACTCATTTAAGTCATTACTGAAGAAAAAACATCTAGACTGAACTGTAATTCATGGCGTTAACAAACATTATTATTATTATTAATATTATTATTATTTCTTCAATAATAGTATTACAATAGTATTACTAATTAATAATAGTATTACTTTAATAATAGTATAACAAATTTAAAAATATTTAAAACAATTCTATTATTACTATTACCTATTATTATTATTATTATTATTATTATTACTACTACTACTACTACTACTACTACAATTTCTTCAGTAATAGTATTTTTATTTTGTATTATTTTATTTTACAAATTTACAAAAATTAGTTGAATTTAAAATAATTTGATTGCTATTTCTATTATTATTTCTTTCAATAATAATATTTTATTTTGTATTATTTTATTACATTTACAAAAAAGTTAAATTTTGCACAAAATCCTTCAAACAAATCACTAAAACAAGCAGGGACTTGAAAACACTGCTGTTTGTTTCTAACAGATTTTTTATCTGAAAGCTACACGGAAAATGATTCCTCATGATATGACTCATTTAAGTCAAGTTAACATCTGGACTGAACTGTAATTTATGGAGTTAACAAACAAAGTTGAGGGACCGGGAGTCTGGAATCAAAATTTAGTGCTGAAAAATGGCAGAAAGCATGAGACAAGATAGTTTATGAAGCCTTGAGATGTTTTTTGGTGGCTCAGTTGTGGAAAGTCTAGTCAAATATTGTGAGATCTTATGGCTGATTTACCAGACTTGTGAGTCTTATGGCTGATTTACAAGTGGCGATGCTAAAAGCTCCCAAAAAGTGTGAAGGTTGATTTATTACATCAATACTGAAGACGACATAGACGAGTTCTCAAAGCTTCAGCAAAAAAGTAATTCTGTTCTATCATTGAGGGTCAAAATTATAGCAAAGAAATATTTGTAAGGATAAAAATCAACCGGCTCAACAAAAATGAGTATAAAAGGTTTGAGTCTTACCATGTTAAAGTCTAGGTTCATTTCCACCCACTCGGTAGCAGCCTCAAACTCGTCATACATCTCCATAATGTAGAGCGTGTCCAGCGCATCCACAATGGTGGCTCCTTTGAGACTACCTGTGGATAAATATGACAACAAACCATTTGAGAAGGCTTCCTGTGGGGTTACCTCTAGGATCAGAGCTGAAATAAACCAATAGCTTTATGATAAAGACCTCAGAGCCTTTGAGATATGGACCCTAATGCCCTGCCTAAGGGAAAATCCTGTGTAGAGAGCAAACAAACCATGGCTACAACAAATAAAAACCTTGCGAGATTAACACCCTCAAAGGGAAACCAAGGTTAAGGCAAACAGATCTTACACAGGCCATGTCAGATTACTTCAGTATTTTAGTAGATAACGTGAAAACAACAAAAATTCAGATTCACTAAACATTGGGACAATGATAACTCAAATATGAAACATGTTTGTGCAATAAAATGTAGCTCGTTAATATAATATGTAATAATAATAATAATAATATTAAATAAAACTATTAATATTATTGAAATGCAATTATTATTGTTACATACACACACACAAACAATTATAGTGTCTATACATACATAATACATACATATTTAAAAAAGAATACAATTACATAAATACAAAAATTACATACAATTTATTATTTCACATTTTTCTATTCTATTTTTTATTTTGTGCATGTTGTTGATTTTTTTGTTGCTATGTACTGCATTTTATTTACCTTTATATACCCGTGTACATAAACAAACAAATATACAAGAATAAATAAATATATATACACAAACAATTATAGAGTGTATACATACATCACACATACATACATATTTCACTGTATTACAATGCTCAGTAACATTTATTCCTGATAAATAAGAAAGTTGTGCTACCGGTACATTTCTTAGAATCAGCATGGCTATGACCACATTCATGTAACCACAGTCTTTGCAGCTCACATTCTGCTGAAGCCCAAATTTTTCATATACCTTAAAGGGGTCATATGATGCTTTTTTAAAGATCATTATTTTGTGTATTTGGTGTAACAGAATATGTTGACATGCTTTACACTCAACACACAGAAAGTAGATGCAAACAGTAAGCAAATAAAGGTGTTCTACACGGAGACGATGCAAATCAAAATCATCTTTAAGGCAGAAACTGCACTGCAGGTGAAAGGACAGCATATTTGTGCACTGCTGTGTCTTTTTACAGGCCCTCGAGGACTCAAACCCCAGTGAGGAAGTGTGAGAAGGTCATAAATCACTTCACTACAAAGCTTTCTAACACAGCCCTCGGTTAGACATTCAAGTCCCAAAAGCTTTCCCCCTACATGACTGGTTTTACCCTCTGAATGCTGACCCAAATCAGAACTATACAATCTTATCATCCGAGATGTCCACTGCACAGGTTTAACAGAGACTCTTAGACACTATTAACAGATCTTATCTATTCCAATTACACTGGTAAATTACAAACCAGCACTTAATGACCTGATAAAGCTACTCACAGTCATGAATCCCTTGCTGAGAGCATGTCGTGACCTCAGGTTAGAGGTGATGGGATACCAGCCTGCTTGTCTATCAATACAAAGACTCGATCTGATGACCAGTTGTACCCCTCGAGAAGGTTGTGAGTCGAAGACGATAACAATCCAACGTCGAAAATACAATCCACTATTGAACCATCTTCCATCTCAGTGCATGTTATGGATTAATCAATGAAACCAACAACTGGCCATTCTTAAGCAGGGGCAAAACAATTAAGAAACGAGCACTTATGTTTGACGGTACATCACGTGCCGGAGCTCATCTCAGCAAGGCCTGTATAACAGATGGCCGCTCATTTGGGATCTGAAAGAAAGCCATTACGACGAGAGAACCTCCTGGAAGCGGTATTATCGAAATGAAGGTTGACCTCCAGAGCTATTTGGCAGGGAAATGACTTTGGCAGCATCTGCAAGGTGGTCCAATCCTGCATGTTTATTCTGGGCTGACAGATACTGGACAGTAATTCAAAGAACATTATCTGGCAGGACATTTTTTTTAAAGGAATGACCTTTTGACCGCATGGTGCACGTCTACAAATAATCAAACATGGGATACAAACTAAAGTCTAAGAAAGTTTCAAGCTAATTTAATAACACACCTACTCAGTAAAACTCAAACAGCACTGAATTAGTATTTAAATATAACTAATAGTCATGCAGTCAAGACAATACTGATAATTTATATAGTTTCAATTTACATTTGATAATATTTATATTTCTTAATGCTTACTCGAATACTTAAAGTGATAGTCAAAACAAAAATGACAATTCTTCTATATGACTTACTTTATTCTGTGACAAACAACAATATTTTGAAAAATGGACATTTGAATTTTATACAGTATAATAAAATGAAAAGTGGTCTTTTTTGGACCCCTACACTCCAAAAAAAAAATTTAATTGTACTCTGTAGTAGAAAGAAAATCATTTATTATTGCTGACAAAATGTTTACTTGAAATAATATACTGTATCTGAAGGTTGCATACCATTGTGTTAATTTAATTATATACAATTTAAAAATTAATAGCTTAATTCATATTTAACCTTTTTAGTAAAGGAATATGTTAAAAATGTACGAAAACTAGCATTGAGAAACATCAAATTAATATTGGTATCAGGAAAAAAAAAACTATTGCACACTGACATACAAATTGAAAGTAATTATTTAACCATCTCACGATCCATTAGCACATATAATAGTTATGATTCTTGGCTCATTTCGAGACAAAAAAGAAAAAAAAATGCCGTTTAATGAGTCAGTTGACCCAGTAATCACTCTAAATGATTCTCTGACTTGTTCCATTTCTATGCCAATAATTTGCTAATTCAACTCAGAGTGATTAATCATTTAAATGAGTCATTTACAAAAGTATTTTAAAAAAGAACCAGCAATTTGTTCATAAATCAGATATCACTGATTGTGCATGCAACCAAAGAGAACAACAAAGTCATGTTGTCGGTTTATTGTCCTATATTTTACCACGTCCTCAACATATTCAATTCAGACTGCAAGCTCACAACTCAGCTAAAAAAATTATAATAATAAATAGTTTTGCCGCAGGGTTGTAGATTCAGCAGCAGGGTACTGTCGCTACCGAATACAAACAGTAAAACATTACATCCTCTAGTGACACCGTTGTAATGAGGAAAATATATAAACAGACTGTATCAGTGAACTCCGAGGACTGACACAATCTCTAGTCAAAGCCTCTAAAGCAAAATACAGCTGAAACATGAAGACTCGTCTTGCTCAGCAAGAAGCGGTTTGTAAGCACATCTCCAAGCAGCAGGAACTCCTGAAGCCTGCTGTGACACTGGACGGCGGGCTTCAGACAACAAACAATACGCACATAAGCCGATGTCCATCAACACCAGACCATAATTCTGCCCAAGCATCTGTAGGAATCCATCGGCCCTATTCAAGGCTGAACATGCAAACACCGGTGCAACACAGCTGTCTACTGAATCCTAAAAGCATCAAACCATTTAGTACCAAAGATCCTCCAATTTGTGTTTGCCAGCAGGTAGCCAACTGGCAGAAGAAAAGCACACACACGCAAACACTGCAATCATTAACTTGAAATCACCCTCTTCAAACAGATGGGAGTTTCTTCAACTATGAGAACTTTCATGTCTCAGGGGTTGATTTTTATGAAAACTAACAGATTGCAACTTTTTTCTTCTTGTTTTATGAAGGTCACATTAAAATATGAGACATTATAAGGGCAGGAGAGAGTTCACTCTTATAAAAATTAATGGGAGAAATTGTCATTTGCAATATGGCAGCTGCAGTCCTGTCTTACATTGTTAAAAGAGTCAGGTGTCTTTTTTTATAGCACCATTGTTTGCTTATGTACTCAAAAATGTATGCATATTAATGAAGCCAGCTTGAAAAATACAGTATTTTTATGTGATTTGAGCTAAACTTGCACTTGTATAAGTGTGGAAAATAATGACAGGAGGTGTTACCAAGACAGCCGACAAGTGAAGTGACTGCCTTAAGAAAGACTTTTAGATTTAAAAAGGCCTTGGAAATTTTTACTGTGCATTATTTAGTTTTGCTGCTTTTCAAATGCCTTTTATGCATAGATTTGATTATTTTACCCTGATAACTGACCCAGCTGTTTAATCTCAACTTATGAAATTCCATCATGAAAACATTTCTTAATTATGGTCGCGTAAAAATAAACATTCAAGATTTACTATGCGACAATGTATTATATAAACTTCTACACAAATGACAACTACCACAACAATTTTGGTAATAAATATATATATATGTTATATTAGAATTTATTAAAGTTCTAAACTAATATTTTAAACTTCACGTTATGTTATAATATAACAAAATTATACTATTATTTTGCAGCTAAATGTATTTTTGTTATAAAGTTATAAGTATTTATTTTTAAATAATTTAAAACATAAAAAGTTATAAATAACATTTTTCCACAAATCAAGAAGCATGTTTGAAAGAAAGAATCTGCAAGTAATTGTTATATTATAAGTGTATATATGAACTGATATTCATATTAAATTGTTTTAAATTAATATTTAAACTTTATCCCACAATTAATATTATTTTTGTTGCTAAAAGCTATTAATTTTGTTATAAAATTGTAAATGCTAATTTTTAAATAACTTTTTAATATTTAGAAATATAAATAATATTTTGCTGCAAATCAAAGGCTAGCGTTAAACAAGAAATCTGAAGCAAGTTAAGAAAAAGTCAAGTGTCGTGTAGATGTTGCTGAGAGGCCAGGAAAGAGCTAGGAAGGCTCAGTACTACGGGATAATTTTCCAGTTTCTTGTATTTATTAGACATGCCACTAACCAGTGATGATTTGAGAGTGATATTCCAAGAAAAAGAAAATGTAAGAAATAAACAAAGTAACAAAAAACACAACAAAAGCACTGAAACTACAAAACGCAAAGAAAAATGCTGTCAGCAGCAAAACCTACAGCTCAAACCACTTGCAGGGGCACTTCTTTCAGTTTAAACACATCTCACAGCAGACATGCACTTCAAGTCAAACAGTTTCAGCTTT